TTCTGGGTCAGGAATCTAAAATCCTGAAAAATAAGAAAAAGCATTTGCTGCTGGTGTGAAATAACACAAAACACTTAAAATATAATAGAGGTATAAAGTCCATTAGAAAACAGAGTATTATAATATTGCCATACTTTTTTTATATCTCTCTAAATAGTTAAATGCTTTGAAATTAAATCCTGAAGTATGTACTTGGTTTCAGTGTGAGGTTTTTTTTCCTGTGTAAGATTAGGGGATCACCCCACTGTGTTTCACAGTTGAATCAGTTCTTTCTGACAAATATGGGTAACTTTCCAAACTGTTTACAAATCTGGGATATTTTTCAGTTCTTGCTGCCAGGAACACCTCTGTGATCTATGTTCTAGGAACTGTACCTATAGCTTCTATTTGCTTCATCTGAAGATATGTGAATTTAACACGTCTGGGAGAAGTTTGTGTGTGGAAATCTAAGTTGACTAATCAGATAAAGGCTTTCTGAGACTATTTCTCAACAAAAATATTGTGGCCTATTTGTATAAAGATAAACTAATTTTAAAGTAGACCATGACTAAAAGTATTAAATAAATACCTGATTAGCGAAAATCCACTGATCTCCTTCCATTGCGTGGCTGAAAGAAAAATATTCAATAAGCGCTCTATAAAACTGACCTCACCCAACTTTGTATGTACGGAAATTGGTAAACTCAGTTCTGTCAGTGTGACCATCATTAAAGATAAACTTGAGACCAGTTATTGTTTAATGTATATCTACTTCTGGAGGAGAATTATACAGTAAAATTTACTATATATCAATTGAAGAATGGATTATGCCCATCTTGTATGACTTTACGAGGGGTGAAAGCCACAAGAAGTCAAAGAGACCATTATCCTTCATTCTTTTTGCTTTTTCTTAAGACGTGCTTTCAGATCATCGTTATTATTGCATTATAAATGTTTGTTGCAATTAACAAACAAATATATAAGTCACTCTCAATTATTTCATTTTTAGACTGTGTTCTTTAATATAAGCAAAGAGTTTCTCCCTTTTCACATGGTAATTTCAGAAATATTTTGCACTACTGAGGGACTTGATACAATTTCTACTAAAGCAGATTAAAAAATTCTTACTGAGCTTAATAGGGATTTGGTTTTTACTCTGGCATTGTGAATGCACCAATGTTAGTATTACCCATAACTTGGCCTGTCATAGGAATTCTAAAGATCCAAGCCGGATACATAAGAAATGTAACTATTCAAACTTGCTGTCTTTTCATTAGAATCATAGAATCATTTAGGTTGAAAAAAGACCCTTAAGATCATCAAGTACAAACATGGCCACTTTCTTATTTAAAGCCATTAGCCTTTTATTTAAATAGAAAAAAAAATACTAACCAAAATCAAGAGAGTTGTTATTAAGTCTGACTTCCCATCTTTAACTTGCTCAGTTTTGCCAAAATGGAGGAAAAAAATGGCATAAAAATGAACAGAGTAGTTTTATTCTTATTCTCATGAGAATTTCTGTATCTAGTTTCTAACATTACTGGTCAAAATATAAGGAAAATGGGAAGGTCAGGCCCAGTAGCTGTTGTGATACAATGTGTAAGCATGGCATTCTATTTATATCACATGCAAATGTACTGTGCTTTAGAAGGATTGTCCAAGATGCCATATTTTCTAGAACTTTCTCTGAGAATTATGGATTGAGATGCAGCCCTGAGGAGAAGAACTTGGGGGTGCTGGTTGATGAGAAGCTCAACATAACCCAGTAATGTGCACTTGTGGCACAAAAAGACAACCATATCCTGGGCTTCATCAAAAGAAGTGTGACTAGCAGGTCAAGGGAGGTGATTCTCCCCCTCTACTCTGCTCTTGTGAGACCTCACCTGGAGTACTGTGTACAGATGTGGGACCCCCAATATAAAAAAGACCTGGACCTATTGGAGAGAGTCCAGAGGAGAGCCACGAAATTGGTCAGAGGCTGGAGCACCTCCCCTATGAGGACAGGCTGAGAGAGTTGTGGTTGTTCAGCCTGGAGAAGAGAAGGCTCCAGGGAGACCTAATAGCAGCCTTCCAGTACTTAAAGGGGGCTACCGGATTGATGAGGAGGCACTTTTTTATCAGGGAGTGTAGCGATAGGATGAGGGATAACAGTTTTAAGCTGAAAGAGGGTAGATTTAGATTAGTTATTAAGAAAAATTTTTTTCCTGTGAGGGTGGTGAGGCACCGGAACAGGTTGCCCAGGGAAGCTGTGGATGCCCCATCCCTGGAGGTGTTCAAGGCCAGGCTGGATGAGGCTTTGAGCAACCTGGTCTAGTGGAAGGTATTTGTGCTTGTGGCAGGGTTGTTGGAACTAGATGATCCTAAGGTCCCTTCCAACCCAAACCATTCTATAATTCTATGATTCTATGACTTACATAATAACCAATGACTTATTAAGGCATAGCACGGAATCATACATACACAAACATTAAGATATGTAGAGAAACTTCCCACTCTGCCTTTATTTTAATCCAAGAAACTGTTTGGAGAAGATCTTGAGTAGTCCTGTAGGGTGGGATGCTCTTAGTTTAAAAAGTCACAATAGTTCTTATTGTAACTCACTGGTCTCTCTGCTTTTTGTTTTGTAATGCTCGTCATGAAACAAAAATTAAAAAGTTGAACAAACCATACCCTGTACAAAAAATAGCCTCTGCTTTGAATCCCCCCAGGTCCTTTAAGTTCTTCCTGAAAAAAAATAAAATTAAATCATATCTACTCTTGGAAATGAATACATATAAAGAGGTTGTTTATGTACACATTAAAAGTATTTCTTCAGTACTGCTATACAGTCTTGCCCCTTAAGACATGCTTGATGTATATTTCTCCATGTCAGTAACAAGAAGTTCATGTTGTTGTGTAGAAATAGCAGAAAACATATGAATTAGGGCCAAATTGCACGTCAAGTTTGGCTCAGTTCAGATTGCTTTAGAATGGTACTAGTAACGATGAGCAGCCCTTGCCTTCGACTTTCTAGGTTTCATTACCCAGACACAACCAGAGAGTCTTCACGGTAGTGGAATCTCTACGGATAAGTATCAGAAATCAGCAGCAAGCTAACCCTTCCCGAAACACATTCTGTGACACCAGAGTCAGACAGTCCAATGAAAGGTGGGGACCCCACGGGACCATGGGGGCTTCCTGCTCCATGGGGGACCAGAGTTCCTCTGCAAATCTTCAGCAGGGTTGCTCTGATCCTCTACTGGCTTTAAAGTTTGCCTACGCCATTTCCTCATCAGCCCATCTGGTAGAGTCTATTGGAAGGACAGATTTGTAGCTTTCTCACATTCAGGCAATAATTGCACTACTTTTATTATTGATGGCAGATTATTTCAGTGTTTTCTTAATTTTCTTATAGACTGGTATGGCCTTCAGGAATAACATTTAAAGAGGATTTTAAACTCTTATACTGACATATGCTGAAATCTGCTATATAAACAAATATGATAACTGTAAAATGGATTCATATCAAAGATTTATCATGACATGAAAATAAGTGAGGTGCATGCAAAAATACCAAACCCAAATGAGTTTGTAAAGGAAATTGATTCTGGAAGATGCTAGCACTTTGTAAACATCTGGTGTTTATGCACTGTACAGGAGTAAATAACAGCTTTAACAAGGTGACTAGTATTCACAGCAGGAACTGGGAACACAAAATCAAAAAAGCTGCTTTCTATAGAACACAATTCAACATAGAGCTGTTTTAATTGTTTCCTTAGATTTATATTAATATTATAAAATGGTTCTATTCTGTAAGTGTTGGCCATGTCCCTACTGCATCACGATTACAAATTAAAGACTACTACTTATCACAGTGCAAAACAGTTGTAATTCTAACTGTTGCTGTTTCCATGTACCACTAGTTAAGAGTACAATAATACAAATAATAGGAGACAGCTCTTTTAAGAATTAGCCACTTGAAAAGATGACTAAGGAAACACATAATAGTCATAATCATTCATTCATTTCTACTTTAAAAATATGCTGAAAATAAGGTACCTTGCAAAAAGAAGCCCGAGAAAATGTTTGTTTTTTGCCACAAAGTTATATCTGCATAGTCTGGCATTTTTTGCAGACTATAGCATTTTTGTCAGTTTTTTAAATTTCCTTTGAAAGAAATATTTCCAAACACTATCCTAAAAAAGGACTTTTTATATCAGTGCATGTTTACACTTTATGTCAGATAGCTAGTATATATTTTATTTTTTTTCCTAAGGATTTGTAGAGTATGGACTTTGATGTTTCTTTGACGTAAAAAAAAAAAAGGCTAAATTGCATGTCAAACGATGTCTTCACAGCTCTTAAACAGAAGCAATTTATTAGATTTCATTTGCGAGTTGTTATGTGTATTGTGACTCTCTAAATATATATATATATAAAGACATATGATCTGGCTGATATACTCTGTAATATTTGATACTATTATTACTTGGGAAAATATCCTTATAGTTTCTTTTTAAGCCCACTAAAATAAAAATGCCATGAGGAGGGTAAAATATGTTGGAACATGCTAAATATGCTATGAATTTTAGGTTATTGTCTGTTAATTAATGTATTCTATTTCCATTAATTATGCCTTCAACCTCAATGGAAGCAAGTTCAGGATGTTAAAGTATTCTAGCAAGGAATTTACTGGATTTAAAAGGCAGTTTGTTTTCACCTGCAGCAATTCTGTGTTCTTGCATTTATGCTTTCCTTCCCATTCTTTATGATTTGACATGTATGTTTATTGAAAAACACAAAGAGCAATTCCAAGAATATTCTTTGCCAGTATATAGGTCCAATAGCATAAATACAGTTCACATCAGTGTCATCACAGAAGGAAAATTTTACTCTGTATTTTCCTTTCAGATGTGTAATGGATTAAAATTTTCACAACAATTTTAGTCCATGAGCAGATGTACCAACTCTTTAAGTTCTTATATGTGGGCAGGTTCTGTCACTGGATAAGAAAAATGTGCCATTAGTTTTTACACCATTTCTCCATGTTTACAATGCAGTAGAAATGTAGGAAGAATAGCACACATTTAAAAACAGTCTCATAATTGCTCAGTAAGCAATCACACCCTTTTTCCCTTCCCCATGTAGTTCGCAATTGGATTGACTTCTGTGAGATCCTTCTTTTAGTTGTTACCTCTTCACCTACACATTAATACACATGTATAATATTAAGACAGGATTTAAACAGTGACATTATAATGTTTTCTGTTGTGCTCACCATCCTTTTCCTAGTGACTCAGGGCATGCAGTTGAGATTATGCAGTGATCTGAAGACAGGGGTAGATAGCATTTCCAACCGCAGCCATGACTGGATGAAAGCTAACATACATAATCATGGGATTAAGAGTTAATTGAAAATGTGGGAGTTGCCAACAGAGCCTTTATCTGGACTAATAAAGGAGAAGTCCTACTTATGGGGATGCCACTATCTGAATTCTAAATTCTGTCTTCGTACACCTAATTTAACTTGTGCATCAGTGAATATAAGGAATCATATCAACAATTCTAAGGAATAACCAAGCTGAGGGTATTGTAAAACAGGAAGAAGCTGGGTCTTAGATTTTGGTATACTTCATTACACAGGAATCTTCAGTATTCTTATAAAGATTCTTATGTATCAGCTTGCATTTTTCTCTTCTCTCTATAGCTCCATTAAAGAGATAGACATTAATATCGATCTGCTTTTTGATTTCTGAAATTTGAAATTGCATTTGCAGCAAATATACCCACATTTTATGATATTTTGGAAACAATGGGGCTCTTTCTCACTATGTGAAACTTTTGTTCCAAAACATTCTACTTTTCTGCAGAAAATTAATTCCTCAGAGAACTTTCTTATCTGAACCTTAAGTTAAACAGTAAAATTGCCTATAAATTGGAAATTCTTAGTGCTATAAGTCATAAATAATGCATGTTTAAGGAGTAGATATGGTTTGAATTTCAGAAAGAAACCCCCTAGAAAATATAACTCAAATGCAATATAACGGTACAGATAAATTTTAAAATATTCTCCTTTTTATAAAAGACATAATGGATCCATTTTGACACAAAGGCTATGTGCTCTGCCACTGTTCTGTGTTAAGTGTGTGTTACTTCAGTGTTTTTTTTCATTTTAAATGTTAAATATCAGTAGGATTATTTTTCATTAACTTAATATAAAAATATTTCTAGTGAAAATACACTAGTGTGATAATAAATCTTGAAAATAAAAATGTCATGAGCAGAAAGGTCTACAAAGACATTTTTAGAAGAGCTAATGAATCAAAGCATGAGAATTTAAGCATGCAGACTTAAAGATTACATACATCCTCTTTGTATCTCTTCGGTCTTCTTTCATTAAGCTGGGGAACAAGTTGCAGCAAAGGATGCAGGACAGACGACTGAGAGGACACGAACACAGACACATGAGCAACAATGAAATTCAGACCATATGATGCAAAAAAATTTCTTCCTGCAGTATTGGCTTATGGACCTAACATGCACCAAAAAAACGACTGAAGATACTAGTTGAGAAACTTATTTTTGAACATTCTGACTTGACAACAAACAGTCACTAACATTTGTATTTACACTATGAATGTGACTCAGACAGCAATGGAGGGAAAAGCTGTGCATCCTCACCTTTACTCATTGAAAGATCAGAACTGATTTGATCAGTCTCTGTGAGTGGTACAGAGAACATTTCCATACACTACTCCCACTAACATCTAACATTTCAATTATTTCCTGTTATGGAAGTTAGCTGCTTCAATGTCCATTGTACTGAAAAGTTAATTTTACTTCAAAATAACTCAAATCTCTGTGAGAAAAAGGATTTTTTTTTTTTTTACTAGAAAATAGTTTGTAGGAGGGATCCATTCTCAAGTAAAATTTCCAACCATGATACTGATCACTCTACCTAAAAGACAATCCTGAAATTCCTTGTGTTCAACATGCTTGCAGACAGCCTGGTTAAGCACAGACGCATTGTGTGCAGCGTAAGTGCACCCCCGGCAAAACACAACCCTGTGGGCTTGTGGAGAGAGGTCCACAGGGAGAAATAAAGTAGAAAACCCATGTTTCATCAACCAATTTCAACCTTCAACTTCTGTAAACCTAATTTTAAAAATAATGGGTTTTTCATAAAATACTTCTTAGAAAAGTGGTACAACAAAGAGAAATATAATTTACGGAATAACTAGAGTTACCTATTTGCTTAAAAGGTAAAATTAACTTGCCTACTTGGAGCCAATTCTGCACTGTCTGCCATAGGTAGGCAATGTGGCATCATAATATCTAAAGAAGTAGAGGTCTGGTGTGTAGTGGAGGAGTTAAAGGGCATCCCAGCTGGCCACCTGGGCTCTGTCTTACAGTCAGTGGAGAGAGGTTAACACAGTCAAGGAGTGATGGATCTCACCTAAGTTAGTATCTCTGAGAACTGGGGTAGAAAATAGTCAACTGAACAGCTAAACCAGAAGTGAGAAAGCAGTAATTTCTCAGGGCAGGCAGGGGCAAAGGTATTCCAGATGAAGACGAAGGGGGATGCAGTAACCTCTTAAGCAGGAGCAGCAGCAGAAATAGCTCATTTCACTGTGCCCTGATTACCATTAAAACCTCCAGAGAATCTCTATCACGAAAACACTGACCCCAATATCAGCAATATCACCTGCTAGGAAATATACCACATATTTCTGAAGAAATGTAAAGAACAAGGCAAAAACGGACATTAACATATAAGAATGATTGTTAAGAAATGAGAAAACATGAACATGTTTAACTTTCTCAAAATCCTACGGTGCACAGAAAAACCACATGGATGCACAGAAACAGCAGATTATGTTTGCACTTGTCATGGTTTCAGCACTTTAAATGCAAGAATGGAACACACATAGTTTATTTGTTGGTTTATAAGAATATTTTTATAGCAACAATTCTAGACTATTTTTAAAATAATATTTTTCATTTAAAATATAACACAAAGTCTGAGTGAGACTTAAATACTCTTATGCCTGGTACATATTTATGACATGCACAAATAAATACATACAATTTAATTAATGATGATTAAAAATTAATTAAGAGTTCTATTTATTTATGGTCATGTTCTCAGTTTCTATAATTCCACAGTGTTTCACTGCATATGTTATGTTCCAGTACCAGAAAAAAGCATTTGATCTTATTCTTAAATGTTGTAACTACAAGATTAAGATGTAGTTGGAATGTTTAGTCATTTTTTTTTCACACCTGTAAAGTATTGATGATCCTCTCCTGTGTTATAAAACACATCCTGTATCTTAAACATGAAACTTCCAGTTCTGAGCTTGCTATACCATTGGAAAGACTATTGCAAAAAGGATCGTTACCTTGTATTTATGTACAACCACATATGTACTCACAAGGAGGTGCTATGCCACTTACCATGATGTCTGAGTTGCCTGAGTCATGAGTCTTAGAATAATGAAATAAGAACTGTTTGAAAAAATTAAAAGTGGGGTTTTACTACAAACCAGGGCAAATGTATTATGATTTTCTTGACAATTTTAGTGTGATCATAAAACATACATAGAAATCTTACCCTTTTGGTGTTGTCTTTTTCATCGAAACTCTGTGGGAATAATAATTGGTAGAGAGGCTTTTATTTGTTTAAAAAAAGAGAGCAATGGACAATTTTGATTACATTATAAGCTTCTCAGTACTGGATTGGAATCTTGTCCTTTCTTGACAGATATATTACATGTCTTTGCTTATCAATGTGACTACTCTTTTCAAACTCTGTAGAGAGCATTGATTACTCTCCACTAGAAGGGCAGACGGGTTTAGCAGATGCTCCTTTGTATATCCCTAGACTCTCCTAAGTAAATTTATTTCTCAATTGAGAGCTCATAATTTTTCTAATCTAGGGCAATAAAAACACCTAAAACCTTGTATCCAACCTGGAGATTATTTTCCAAACATTGGAGTCTCCCTGTCATCTTTAACAGATTTTGGATTAGGAAACCTAGAGTTTCAGAGTAAGAACTGATAGTATTGCTTCCAGCACTGAGTGACACTTCAGATACTGGCTCCTCAGAATTCATTGTAGACACCAGCACCCTGAGAGATCAGGCTTCAGAAATGTTAAGTAGTCTTTCATGTGTCTTACCTGTGGTTTCTGGAGAAATCCCATGACCAAAAAACAAAGTTCTTCCACTGTACTGGATGCCTAATGCAAAGAAAACATGAACTCAGGTATCACACTTCCAATCCCACTGCATATAACAAATAGAATCAAAATAATAAAGTAACCTCTGTATGACTCACCTGAGGCTGAGAATCTGTGGACAGGTAGGCAGAACATGCCTCGTCTATCTGTAAAAGTTCACATGGTCCTTTTTTAAGAAGTCAGATTAATAAAGACAAGTGAAATATGTATATTTTCAGAAACAGTTCAACGCAGATAAAGGCATGGCAACCTTTGTCCATCCTTATAAGTACATTCATGAAATATTTTGCATTCAAGGCAAAAAAAAGGCCTTAACCACATTAAAAAAATTACGCTTGCTTGATCTGAACAAACACATACGTATCTGCATCCTTTATTTTCTTACCCGTCTCATGCCCTTCTATGGACTATAGGTATGGACTATGAACTCAAATCTCTTCTGTGATATCTATGGACTATACAAAACTGCAAACAAATTACAAAACTAAAGCAAGTGATTCACTGAGAAGTCCTCAAACACAACTCTTCCAATTGGATTCCATATGACACATGCATCTCTTGAGTGATTACGATATCTGCCAGCACATCTTATGTGCTCCAGTCAATTTGTGTGAGTCACCAAGCAGCCAATATCCAAGGTTTGCACTGATTTCTTTGGCAAATGAGGAGCCTTACAAGATTTTGTTTGAAGGAGGTGGTTCCCAAATCACAGTACTAGTAAGATATATTTAATATATTCCAGGGGATCGAAGCACAAAGAGCACTGTGGAAGAAGTAATTGCTGATGAACTTAGATGTGTTAGCACAGAATGGAATGTGACACATAGACATAAAACCAAACAAAACCAAAAACCAAACCAAGAAGTCTCAATGCCTGTTTCATCTGGATCAAAACAAATGTCCATTTAACTCTACATCTTATCTCTGAAAATGGGCAAATGTTGAAAGCCAGGGAAGAGCCTAAGACGAGACCAGTGTCTGAGTAAAACCCATGCTCTCCAGCCACCAGCAATCTGTAGTGGAAGCACTTTGAGTCAGTAGTAGGTCCTTTGTAATAAAGCTCAGTGGGTTTCTGTGCTGTGACTTTGACCAGTCTGAGCCACTGCCACTGTAAACTTTTAGCATCCACAACCTGTGGCAAGGGTTTCCTAAACACTGCATGAAATACCACCTCTGTCTTGATCAGTCTTTTCTAAGCTACCTTCATTCAGTGCTGTCATGACCTTGTCTCAGAAGAAGCAGTGAATAAGTGATTCCCACTTGTCCTCTCTCCGCTGTTCATAACCTTGTACAGACAATTAATTTCATCCTCCTTCTGTTGCCTTTTTTCCAAGATGAAATAATCCCATAACACTGAATCATTTTTAGTGGAGTTACTAATTGAGAAGGGAGAAGAAATGGAATAAAGGGTATCTGAATTCATGGAAGTGATATTACCAGTGCTGAAAGCTCAAAGTATTCTGTAAGGAAAGGAAAAAATCTCCAGTACTCAAACTGAAGCTGCACAGCTTAATAATGCTAAAAAAACAAGAAAAATAACAAAAAAAAAAAAAAAAAAAAAAAAAAAAAAAAAGGCTTAGCTTTTCATTATATAACTTTAAAATTGTATCAACAGCAACCTCCATTGGTATGCAAGATTTTTTTTCCATTGAATATTTGATACAGTTATTCCAGATGGCAAAAAAAACTTTGCCAATCATCTTGTTTACAGACTGCATAAAAAAGTTGGTTTTTTTTTAAATGAAGAGTAGGCCATGAAATGGATCTTATTATTTTATTCTAAGTAAAAAGCCCTAAACAGCACTCTTTAGCAATGAAAACATTAAATGAAAAAAAAGCACTAAACAAATAATGCATATCTGAGTACTTCAAGACAAGAGATGATTCATTTCTCTAGAGAATCTACGAGAAAGCATTAGCAGAGGTAGTACAAAGTTAATAGCTCACAGAATTCCCCTTTCAAATAGTTTTTGTTGGTAACACATCCTCCCTGTTCTCTTTTCCCTTCATCTCTCATTTGTTTGTCTCTGGGTATATTAGCTCAGCTTCACTAATTTCAGAGTAAGGAAATGTAGAGGGAGAAATCAGCAGTGAATGAGATAAACTAAGCTGAAGTAATTTTGGAAGCTTATGTTAAAATTTTGCTGTTTCTTCTTGGTGACAGATTTTTTTGTTTGTTTCTTTTTTGGTTTATTTGCTTGTTTTGTAGTTGGAGGTGACTCTTGGAGAACTACCATAATTCAGTAGCAGGACAAGCAGGAGGCTGCTTTGTGTTTGACACAAGGCAAGGCAAGGTATCTCTCAGCTAATACCTGCATGGACAAAAGCAAGGGCTGAGGAAAAGCCACAGCTTCTGCTAATTCCTTTTTTTTAAAAAATACAAATAAAATGTAATAGTTTTTGTCATCCTTGATGCATCTTCTCCATAATTTTCTCTCCTATCTCAGAAATGTGGCCTGAGGGTAGGAGCTTGTGAGTTGTTTGGAGCTGGCTAAATAACATAAAGAAACAAAAGGATGTGAGAGACACGGAAAGGAACACAATACTTAGTTACAAAGTTCCCATATTTATGAACATGGGGTCATTCCTGGAAAATATTAGGTTCATTTAGAGGCAAGGCTCCTCCTGAATGATCCGCTAGTAAAGTAACAAACAGGGGAGAACTGATTCTTTTCACTCCAAGAAATTCTTCTGAACTGGTATGATTCTGTAACTGGTTGACTTAGGGCATACAGCTATGCATCTAATTCCCTTTCCATTGACCCTCTCCAGTCCTGCGTTATTCTTGCTACAATGCTAAGTTTTATATTGCTTATATTACACAATTTAATAGAGAATTTAGTCTTTTATGCATACTTTTTTCTTCACTGAAATCAAGAAGAACTATATGAACTAAGGGGAGCTGACAGTAAGGGAAGTGTCACCTGTAATGGCCTCAACAGGAAGAAATTTACTCTCTGCATCTGTACCCCTGGTGAGTCACTTGCTTTCTCGTGTTATCGGAAGCTACAAAAATAAATGTCAGCAGAATACTTGAAGGTTACAGTAATGCCAGGCCATGTGAGTTGCAGGCTGAACCCTGTCTGCGTGTTATGCCCTGCTGCTCCATCTGTTCCAAAAGGGCAGGGGAGAGCCCATGTTAACACGCATGTCACATCCTAAGGTCAAAACAAATGTTCATTTCACAGATGAGAGTGGAAGCTATGATAGCAATCAGAAGCAAAATGTTAGAGGGGCTAATGAACACAGTACTTATCTTTTGCCTAGTAAATTGAGAGGTTAGGATAGGATTAAATACAGTGTCCCAGCCCTGTCTGCAGAACAAAAGAAGTAAGAGGTAAGACTGGATGAGTTGAAACAATTCCTGCGTATTGCGTATGGACTATAAAACTACCGGACAGGACACTGTGTTGCTTCCAGGTACAGCGACTGCCTGGTCATTGACAGTTAAATGACAACTGTTATCAAACATAGCTCTCCATTGAGCCAAGACAATCTTTCCCTGGAACAATATCTCAACACTCAGCCTCAAATCTTCCTGAAACAACTGTTCAGAAAATCTGGAAAATAAGATGTTTCACTTATTTGCTGATGTGAGGATAGGAGATGTACAAGAGAAGCAGGACTGGAGGAATAAGCACCTGAACTCTGTGCAAGAGAAATACTGGAGAGTGATGTGTGACAGTAGCAAGGATGGACACAGAAGAAAAGGAAGTATGCCATATGGCAGATGATGCTTACCTCTTTCCACAGCTGCAAATCCTCATCTGCCTCAAGTGCCTGGGATGGCATTGGTGCACCTGGAAGCACAAACTGTGCTTAGCAATGCTGTACAGCAGTGGTCATTTGTGTAAGTATCCTATGTTGGTGATTTAAATAAAAACTCTGAACAACTGCAATGTCTGAGAGCTGCATGGTCCAAGGAAGTCTGTTGCCGCAGATGTTGTGGGGTTTCTCCAGTAGTTTCTGTCTGCTTTCTGTTACGAATTTTGGAGGAGGCTTCTTCACAAGTTCGGAGCAGATATGAACACCCACATGTCTCAGCAACAAACGATGTGGAAGTTACTCACTTTCAGTTTGAGTTTCACTGAGGGTCAGGCTAGCATTAGTCCCTCTCAACAATAAATAACAAGCAAGAAAATTTGCATGGCAGCTCTTGAATAGTAAGACCTGCTCAGGAAAACACATTCCAGTGCCTGCAGCCCTGAGTTTTCTGACAACTTGGCTCACCTCCAGCACATGCATCGCAAGTTGAGAATCTGGATCCTACCTCTTGCTTTCTCGTATGCTACAATTAAAGAATTAAACCTGGGCTAGGTAATGTACACTTGTGTATGAATAATGCATGTGATATGAACATGGTGTTTTTGTGGAGGTGATAGACAGTACATGTCTAACTAGTTTTGTTTCCTCTGTGTGGTGTATGTGATATGGAAAAGCTCAGTCCCTTAGGAAATTAAATGGGTTTTTAATTACATACTGCTGCAGTGATGCCATGCTTGGCTTGGAGGCAGCTCCTTTCTCCATCTCTGCCCACCCAGGATGCAGACCTGAAAGTCACTGTCTCTGGGTCCCTCCCAACTCAGCACCCAGAATATCCAACTTTCGACATTGTTATTTTATCTGGAAGTGTATTTCTAATAGCAATGTATTATCAGAGTCTCTGTAAATAACAGAAATAAACATCACTGAATTGTGAGTATACTACACACCATCCAAGCATGTTAGTGAGGGGCTGTGTTGTAACTCACCTGGGAGGGAGAGCGGTGCTGGAGAGGGTGGTGCTTTATCCATACAGTCCTAGCACTGCAGGAAACCCTATGAAGTCATCTAATTTATCCCCCTACCCAAAGTTGCTGCCCATGAGCCACGCCTAACCAGTTTATACACTATTCTTAAAGAACCTCAGATTAAAAGAGACTTTATAACCTTCTAGATGGTCTATAATTACCTGTAGTCCCCCCCCTTTTTTTTTTCAAATAACTGAACCAAGTTAAACGAAAAAGAGGTGAAGGCAGACTTAGCTAGAATAGCCAGGTGAGCAGGGTATGAATGCCCGTCATCTCCATTTGTTTTACATATACCACTAATAATAATTACAACAATAGTTAGTTCCAGGCATTAAGGGGTGGATTTCAAAACCATATTTTTGTATCAGCACAGACTTAAGGTGACTAATTATTCTGGATGCTTGTTTTCTCCAAAAAAGAATTAGAGGACCTCTTAATTTCACACTACGCAGAGCTGGAATATTTTTGAAATTTCCGAGATGTCACATAACAGGAAAACTGCTTTCCAATTTAAAAATTTACTTTTTTGGATGTTTGTTTTAGTTCAAGGAAAAACACCAAATACATTAAAGGTGCTACAATGCTCTTACTTTGTTTGCTATTCTTAAATTAATATATTCATATTAGAGTATTGCCTGGGACTGGTATCCAGTTGCAAAGATTGAAACTGGACACCACTTAAAATGAAGACACCTTCCCCATTAAACCTTTGCCTGCCTGTCTCTGAACACCTCTTCTGCCATTGACTGGTTCCCAAGGCTTTCTAGGGGGAGCAGAAGAAATCCAATAGCCTATAAAGCTTAGGCAGCAGGCAAGAAAGCCTGAATATTACAGCTCACTTCTTTTTGGTTTTGTTCTTGTTTTTTGTTTTTGTTTTTTTTTTTTTGTTTTTTTTTTTTTTTTTTTTCCTGAAGCATAAAATTTTGGACAGAGGAGATGCAATTATTTCACCAGTTCCTAAGTTTCCTTAACCCTTCTCCACTTATTCACAAAACTCTTATTTCATGTGCAGTCCCATCTGTTTTGTGCTCACACCTAGGACTCTGTTCCAGTGCTGAGCGGTGTCCCTCCATCACCCCATCCAGGACAGTGCTGCAATCCCTGCGGGACTTCATTCACACACATACACAACAGCACACACATGGAAACAATAACTTATTTTGTAACGTGCACAAGATAACCATAGGGGTGGAGAGGAAAACGTATTCAAAAGGAAAATGGAGAAGGAAATCCTACAAAATTAACACTGTCCATGACACATTTGTTCTGTTATCCTTCAATTCTGACAAATTCTAAAAACTCAGCTTCTTCCAAGGCAGCAGAATGCCAGATGCACTGTTTCAGTCACTTGTCAACATGGGATTCACTTCTTACATATTCACTTCCCTCCACTACTCTCCCTACACTAGCTCCTGGCAATCATTTCTGTAAGAACAATGATGAAATACTGTATGACATTGTCCTTCCTTGCCCTCCTTCCCTTCCCTCTTCCACATCTCCAGAATTCATTTTAACAGAATATTAAGTATACTGTACTTGGAGTTATTTGATTTTTGAAATTAAAAACCACAACAAACCAGAACAAAAACTCCTGATGAAAGCAACTCACAAACTCACACACATATAATACAAACAAAACAGAAATACTCCTTGCACAGCAACTTATTTTGTAGTTTTACTTTGTAAGGTATGAGCAGTTACTCTGTCTGGAGTGGGAAAATAGACTAGAAAAGACAGTACGTTTTGCTAAAAAGCCAATTAGCTGTGCTCACTTCACAAGCACTCCCTGCTACAAAAAATAGCAACTTTCAGGTGCAAAACAACATTTCAAATTAAATCAAGATAATCAAGCTCTATACCTAAAGCTGCTCAGCAGCACTATCCTTTCCCGCTTAACCCCACCCCCGGGGATTCCTCATGCAGTAAATATTGCTTCAGGTTGGGCTAAGTGACATCCGGAGGGTCCTAAATTTTCCTACAATTCCGTGATACACTTTGTTTCTCTTCTCTTAGCTTTTAAATCAAAGTAAATTCTATTCAAAATGAAATCCCTTTTAACAAAAGCCACTTCCCCAAGGTGCTGCAGTGTAGTTTTGCCAGAACAGGGTAATCCTGCCGGGATACATGAGGAGGCTCCCCCAAACCAACCCCAAAACCGTGCCCAGCTGCTCCAACCTCCTGCTGAGCATCCCTTC